GAGATACCACTAGAAGCTCTTTTATTATACAGGGTTATTTTAGAGCAAATCTGGGTTGTTGTTTTTTTTTTTTTTTTCCTTATGAAATTGAGAATTGTTCTTTTGAGGTCTGTAAAGAATTATGTTGGTAATTTGATGGAAATTGCACTGAGTCTGTACGTTGCTTTTGGTAGGATGGCCATTTTTACTATGTTAATCCTACCGATCCATGAGCATGGGAGATCTTTCCATCTTCTGATAGCTTCTTCTATTTCTTTCTTCAGAGACTGGAAGTTTTTTCACACAGGTCTTTCACTTGCTTGATTAGAATCACACCAATGCACTTTGTTATTTGCGGCTATTGTGAAGGGTGTTGTTTCCCTAATTTCTTTCTCAGCCCTTTTGTCTTTAGTATATAGGATGGCTACTGATTTTTTTTTTGAGTTAATTTTGAATCCAGGCACTTTGCTGTATGTGTTTATCAGCTGCAGGAGTTCTCTGGTAGAATTTTTGGTGTCACTCATGCATCCTAGCATATCATCTGCAAATAGTGATGCTCTGACTTCTTCCTTCTTTCTTTCTGATTTGTAGCATCTTGATCTCCTTTAGTTGTGTTATTGCTCTAGCTAGGACTTCAAGAACTATGTTGAAGAGATATGGAGAGGGTGGGCAACCTTTCCTCATCCCTGATTTCAATGGGATTGCTTTAAGTTTCTCTCTGTTTAGTTTGATGTTGTCTATACGATTGCTGTATATCACCTTTACTATGTTTAGGTATGTGCCTTTTATCTCTGATCTCTCCAAGACTTTAAACCTGATCAGGTGTTGGAATTTTTTTTCACAGTCCCAGGTTCAGCTTTATTTCCTAAAACAAGTCCAGTCTCTGGAACATTTAAAAAAAAAAACTGTTCCAAAGCTTAATTAAAACAAAATTTACAAATAGTTAATATCTTCTGAAAAGCACCTTGAAGTTCAGGGGATGAAAAAATATATACATAATATAATCAAACACCAGGCTAGTTCAGCTCCTGCCAGACCCACACAAAGAGATGATCATGTGGTTTTTCTCCTTTAGTTTGTTTATATGGTGGACTACACTGATGGATTTTGGCATAAAGAACCACCCCTGCATGCCTGAGATGAAGCGCAGGAGTGTGGGTAGAAGTTTTCCTTGAAGGAAAGGGTGCTTGCACATGTAGATGCTTGGAAGGCTGGAGCATAAGCACAGGTGGATGCTGGCATGGTTCGTAGGCACAGAGCATGCACCCAGGTGCCCTGAATGGCTCAGTGGCCCATAGGCCTCTTGTACTTTTCTCCAGGCACTCAGATCTGTCTGGGTTGCACCATCTTGGCTCCTGGAATTGTTTGCCTGGACTCCACTGGCCCACCCACAGAACAGTGGCTTCAATGTTGAGAACATTGTCCCAGGAATCCCAATACTGGCCACAATGGGGATGTTGTTGGGAGGGATCCAATGTCTGACTGCTAGTGTAGGGAATCCCTGATCTGGGGCTCAGCTCCACTCACTCAGAGATGCATTCTCTTGCAGGCATATGTGGAAAATGCAGGGGGTCCATGGTTGTCTACTCTCAAATTTGGACCCTGCAGTGGTTTCTGCTGTTTGGCTGCTAGATCAGGGAGCCCATATTTGGGGCAGCTGCTGAGGCCAGAGCACAGGAAAGTGCAAGGGGTCAACAGTTCCCCTCTCTCAGAGCCTGGAGACATCCACAGGGGTGAGGGTCCTGGATCCATTCTGTCCCAGCTCACAGGTTGTCCACTCTGGCCCAGGAAACTTCTGATTCATTGTTCTTGCTTTAGCCTCCCATCCACTCACCAGTATCAGAGTTTCGGATCCTCTGCCCCTCAGATATGGTGTGTACTGGTCACTGCCATCTTGGAGCCTCCCAATGGTTGACTTTAATTGTCAACCTGATACAGTGTATAATCCTTTGGGAAGATAGTCTCAATGAGTAATTATCTGGATCACATTGACCTATGGAAGATTGTCTTGTTTCCAATGTGGGAAGACCATGCTCACCATAGGTGGCACCATTCCCTAAGCAGCTGATCTGGAGCTTTATAAAAGAGGAGAAGGTGAGCTGAGAAAATAAGCAGTCTTGGTGCATTCAATTATTTTCTCTGCTCTTGATTGTGGCTGTGACCAGTTCTCCTATGTTCTTTCAGCATTGAGTTTCCCACATGATGGACTCCTGTCACTGTAAACTAATAATGCCCAAGTCTCATGAACCCCAAAGACCACCAAGAGCTGATTCTGATGCAAACATAGTAGGTTCTTTTATTACAAACTGGAGCTTGGGCCCACACTATCACCAATGCAGTGGTTATAGACTGTAGAGCCCAAGATCAGGGAAAGGAGGGTTTTTATTGGTTTACAGGGAGGTTTGGGAAATTACAGCTTAGCAGCTTTACAATTTGGTGATATTCAACAAGGGAAAGCTTGTTACAAGGTAATTGTGGCTAACTAACATTGAGCAAACTATCTATAGACCTCAGGAATGTTAGGTATTTCATGCCATGAAAGTTCTACTACCAGGTTGGTGGACTGCCCAGCACACATACCCCACCCTAAGATAAGATAAATACCTTCCCATTCTTGTGGTTACCTCCAGGCTATTCCTTGGGTAGGGAGTTCTATTATCTTCCTGTAATTGGTGACCTTTGGCTTAGTTCCCGGTGACTTCGAGGTGGGTCACTAGTTCCTGGTGCCTTTTGGGGGTGTCAGGCCTGGTTCTATCAAACTAAAATTAGTCCTAAATCTTAGGTCACTTTTGGTCAGTATATTTTATTATAAAAATAAAAGGTAGAACTGCTTACTGTGTGCCAGCTTTCTTCAAGAAGCTGAGGAAATACGCAAAAGTTAGTATGACATTTTGATTCAATTAATTTCTCTTTTTTTCTTTTAGGCCATTTTGGCCCACCCATGTTTTGCAGGCTTTGTGATATTGATTGCTTCCTTGTGTACATTATTCTAATTCTTTTGTTTCATTTTTTGAATTACCGTGCAGTAGTATTATTGATTACTAATAAACTCAGTTATTAAACTGTTATTTTCTTGGACAGAGATAGCACTTAATTAATCTGTATATCCTTGATGTCTAAAAACACTTAATAATTTTTCATTTAAATTCTTGGAGTGAGCACCTAGTGATGAAAATAAGACTTTCTTAAATGAAAACAAAAATGTGATTCTATGATATAGTTTTCATCCATTGTTTAGTGCAGATAAACAGTATTTCAGTTCCTTTTGGCTTTTTGGGTTATTCCAGGGTCAACAAAAAGTTCTAAGAGCACATATAATAAATGGGATTGGGGATGTACATATACAAATGAAACTAATTTTCTATCTCTCACCAAAAAAAAAGTAACTCAAATTTGATCAAGGACCCAAATACAAAAATACAAAACTATAAAAACTATTAACACTACCAGGAAATATAGAAAGAGTTCTTAAATGAATTAGTATCATTGATATACATATATATGCATATATATGTATAAGTATGCACACACACATATATATAGATATAGATATGGATACATACCTATATACATATATAACTAAAAATTCAGGCTCCAAAGTATAAATGGGCAAACAGGATGAAACTAATATAAAGAACTTCTATACAACAAAGGAAACAATGAACATAATGAAGGGATAGCCTAGAGAATGGGAATAATATTTGTAAACTATTTGTCCACTAAAGGATTAATAACTTGACTACTAAAGAAAACAACCTCAATAGCAAAACAAAACACTCCTCAAAAGTTCAGTCTAATTAAAAATGAGCAAATTATCTAAACAGCATTTTTAAAAGAAATTATACAAATACAAAACAGGTATGTAATCATCCTCAGCACTAATCAGGGACATTTAAAGCAAAATCATAAGACTAGAATGGCTAATATGTAAAAGACCCCAAACAACATCCTGACAGAGACAAAGAGGGGGGAGACTACTTGTACATGGTAGGAATTTGAATTAGTGCAGTCATTATTGAAAACAGTTTCTTAACAAAAATTGAGAATATAATTAGGATATAATCTAATAATCCCATTTATGGATATATCCAAAGAAACTGAAATGAGTCTCTCAAAACAATACCTGTATATCCATCTCAATTGCAACAGTATCAACCATAGACAATGTGTGTAACCATTCAAGATACCCATCCATGAATAAAAAAATAAAATGTTTTTTACACTCATTAAAACTATGACATGCCATCCATTGATTTTTGGTAACATGGATGGAACTGGAGATGGAAATTTTAATGAGCAAAATGAGCCAGGCACAGAAAGAAAGACACTTTCATATTTTCACTCATTGGTAGAAGCTACAAAAGTTGAAGTGGAACATAGATCAGGAATCACTTAATATAGGAAGGGGAAGGGAGAGGGGAAAGAGATACCGTGACATTGGATAATAGGTTCCAGTGTACAGTTACAGAGGAGAAAGTAGTTTTGGGTCCTATACGGCAGAATTAATTACACTCTGTAATTACGAGATAACTAGGAGAGTTTGAAAGTTCCTAGCACAGAAATGGTGATGTTTGATGTAAAAGAAATGCTAATTAACTTGATTTGATCACTATAAGTTATATGTATATATCAAATTATAATATCATACCATATGAATAAGTATAAATACTGAAATATTCAAATATTGAAATTATATAAAATAAGGAAACCATTAAGAACAAAGCTAACTTCAAGATAAGGCTGTAGAGTCTAATTCTTTGCACCTTAGGGCCTGTTTGTGTCCTTATAATGTCCCTACTGGGACATTATAAGGATCTGGCTTGATAACCCTTTGTTATTTTTATTTTCGTTTCCATGTTTTTAGATATTATCAGCATCCGTTTAAACAAGTTGACCTTTTACTGAATTCTATGACTTTAATGTTTGCTTCCCCCAATGCTGTATTTTCTGATTTGTGCTCAGTTGGGAGGTTGTGTTGTCAACTGTGTGCCTGCTCATGCTTTTGTTATTTCTTGCTACAGGCCTCTTTTCCTGGGAGCTTACACTTAGTCCTGGTTTTACGTCCTACCAGTTTTATTCAGCGGACTTTCACAGACATTGGATTTCGATTTAGCCAGGAGGATTTTTTGCTGAAATTACCAGTAAGATTATTGCTTGAATCTTTGGTCCTTCTAAGCCTATGTATTCCGTACCTATACTGTTTGTTTCATGTGTTCATGTAACATTTAAAATTTGTCTCTCAAAATTTTAATTGTGAAATGTTCTATAGATATTTGCTTCTATTGTTAAACAGGACTAGTTCAGGCAACTTATAACAATTTCTTTTGAAAAATATGTTGTGTGTTATACATATATGCATATTTCTATGAGTTTGATTAGAAATTTTTATTCAGCTAACATTTTGTGGTTTATGTATGTGAAATGCCATGCTTTTAAGCTATCTCAGAGCGCCATGGTCTTTATTTTGAAAATATACCTTTATATGTTTTCTATGGCTTGGAATATAGTGTCATAATATTTAATACCTGAATTGTAAATTAGTATATAGAGTCCTTTTGCTTTATTCTGAGCACACAAATTCTTTGTGTGTATGTGTGCATGTGTGCATGTATATGTATATGAGCATGTATATGTGTGTGTGTAAGATTGTTCATTAATAATGAAACCTTTTAGACAAAGAAGAATTAGGTGTTTTGGTTTCTATAGAAGCTAATTTTGGGTGATAGAGCTGTTTTGTAAATAAAAACTGTTTTCTGAGCAGAGTTAATGCATCCAGGTGTGTGGGGCATGCACAGGAAATATCTGCTTGAAGCATTTATACTGCATAACATTCTGCTAAGTGTTTATTGAAATTCATTTTGCAGATTGGTAGAGGGATGTCATGAAGGGCAGTTAACAGTGTCTTTCTTGCTTATTTACATAGGTTGTTGTGCTGAGCTCAGTTAGTGATTTGCTGACATACATTGATGACAAGCAATTAACCCCTGAGTTAGGCGGCACCTTGCAGTACTGCCACAGTGAATGGATCATCTTCAGAAATGTATGTTGCTTCTGCCCTTACTGTAGAGCCTATCTACATTCTATCTAGAGATTTTTTTTCTTCCTATTTGGGAAAAAAGCAGATTTTGGGTCCCCTACTTTTCACCTACATATATCATTCAATATTTTGTTGTTGTTTTTTTTTTTTTTTTCTATAAGCGATATCTAGAAATGATAAAGAGTCACTAAAGACAGCAATTGAAAAGAGGCCAAGTGAAAAAGAAGAGGATACTCTGCCCGTCCCTTCCTGTGATCATATAGTAACAAAGAGAGGAGGGTTTGGGTACAAATCCTGGCACTGCTGAGTTGTATCTTGGATCTTAGACAATATATAATACTACCCCTCCAAGTCTTTCTCTAACTATAAAATGAGATTGATAAAACGATAGGGAAAGGATCTTAATCAACCCTATATCTGACAGAGGGCTAATATCCAGAATATATGAAGAACTCAAGAAGTTGAACTAATCAAGTAATCCAATCAAAAAATGGGGTACAAAACTAAACAGAGAAGTCTCAATAGAGGAATATAGAATGGCAGAGAAACACTTAAGGAAATGCTCAACATCCTTAGTTATCATGGAAATGCAAATCAAAAAGACCCTGAGATATTAATCTCATCAGAATGGCTAAGATCAAAAACTCAAGTGACAACACAGGCTGAAGAGAATGTGGAGAAAGGGGAACCCTACTCCATTGCTGGTGGGAATGTAAACTTGTACAACCACTTTGGAAATCAATCTGGTGATTTCTCAGACAATTAGGAATAGTGCTACCTCAAGATCCAGCTATACCACTAGGCATATATCCAAAAGATGCTCAAGTATACAACAAGGACATTTCCTCAACCATGTTTGTAGCAGCTGTATTCATAACAACCAGAATCTGGAAACAATCCAGATGTCCCTCAATTGAGTAATAGATACAGAAATTGTGGTACATTTACACAATGGAATACTACTCAGCAATTAAACACAAGGATATCATGAAATTTGCAGGCAAACGGTGGGAACTAGAAAAGTTCATCCTGACTGAGGCTTCCCAGAATCACAATGAGACACATGGTATATACTCACTTATAAGTGGATATTAGGCATATAAGATAAACATACTAAAATCTGTACATCTAAAGAAGCTACACAAAAAGGAGGACCCTGGGTAAGATGCTCAATCCTCATTCAGAAAGGCAAATGGGATAGACATTGGAAAAGGGTGAAAACAAGGAACAAGACAGGAGCCTACCCACAGAGAGCCTCTGAAAGACTCTACCCAGGAGGGTATTAAAGCAGATGCTGAGACTCATAGCCAAACTTTGGGCAGAGTGCAAGTAATCTTATGAAAAAAGGGGGAGATAGAAAGACCTGGTGGGGACTGGAGCTCTGCAATGAGAGCAACAGAACCAAACAATCTGGGCACAAGGGTCTTTTTGAGACTGATACTCCAACCAAGGGCCATGCATGGTGATATCCTAGAACCCCTGCACAGATGTAACCCATGGCAGTTCAGTGTCCCAGTGGATACCCTAGTAATGGGAACAGGGGCTGTCTCTGACATGAACTCAGTGACTGGCTTTTTGATCACCTCCCCCTGAGGGGGGAGCAGTCCTACCAGGCCACAGAGGAAGACAATGTAACCAATCCTGATGAAACCTGATAAGCTCGGGTCAGATGGAAGGGCAGGAAGACCTCCCCTATCAGTGGACTGGGGAGGGGCATGGGAGGAGAAGACCAAGGAAGGGCAGGATTGGGAGAGGATAAGGGAGCAGGCTACAGCTGGGCTATAAAATGAATAAATTGTATTAAATTAAAAAATTAAAAAAAGAAAATCATGAGATTGATAATATATGATCTCATAAGGATCTTAGGAAGATTAAATGAGATAATGTGTACAAAACGTTTGACTCACTGCTTGGTACATGGGAGATTCTTAGAAAAATGAAAGTATATTCATTTCAGCCTACTGGCATTCTCAAGGCTATTAGGTTAGACAGAATCCTGCTTTAGAGATTTTCAAAGAGGTAAAGGACTGTGGTCTCCCAGGTAGAATAATGCCTATGATATAAGTGTCTTACCTTTTAACCACACAATTTGAGAACTCTTCTGAAGAAAACAATGAATACCACTAAATCAAGGTCACATTTACTAGTCCTCATTCAAACTGTGTGTTTGGCAGGTTCTTTCAGCAATTCAGGTGTTCACACTTGGAAAACATTTAAAGTGAGCAGTGTCTTGCCCTAAATAATCTACAAAGCCTAAATGAATGAACAAATATCTTGAGATACATGCCTGACAGGTGGTTTATATTGTGTCTGCATTTCCACTGTATTCCCGTGAGGGACTGATTTTGGAAACAAAACAGTGCAGCCTCCCTTGCCATTTTAGGACAACAGAACCTTTGGGATAACAATTTCAGATCTTTGGCAGTACCTGCAATGAATTGTTGTAACAACTTCCTCTCCAGTTCCTTAGGTCATCATGCTTTGTGATCACAAATGCTAATAGATTTTGAATGACATTGCTGTTCTCATGTCTCTGTAGAAGTGAACTTATCATAAAGCAGTTTTGCTACATGCTTAGTTTGATAAAGGAAGAAAGACACTGATGTTCAAGGCCATATAGCACATTACTCAGCACATGGCATCATATAGAAATAATTTCCAATAAATAAGCCCAGAAATGTAAAAAATTACATTGAAGATTTTTGACACTGCTTTTTAGTGTCTTAGAGGTTTAGACGCAGAGTTAGCATTGTCAGGGCTAGTGCCAACTTTTCCTAGTAGAGTTCATAGTGTACATGTTTGTTGTATACAGCAATACAAATTACCGATCCAAATTTTGACATGTTGTCAGTTTCCATCTTCTGACTTTTTACTTTTACAGGCCATTGAAAAGTTTGCTGTCACAGTGAAAGAAATGGCTCAGATGTTGCAATCCTTTGGAATAGAACTGGCTGAAACAGACCTACCAAACGATATTCCTTCAATAGAAGAGATTCTGGCAGTTCGTGCTGAAAGGTATCATTTGTTGAAGGTATGTCTGATTAGAAATGGAACACATAAATTTTCCTGATCATTCCCAGTCCTCAGTCTTTTTTTTGTGTTATTAGGAATTGAACCCAGGCCCTCCTGAATACTAGGCAAATATTCTGTCACTAAGCTTTGGTTGTTTGTGAAGTAGGTTGTCATTGTGTATCCCAGGATGAGCTAGAAGTCACTCAGTAGCCCAGGATGACCTCAAACTTGGAAAACATTTTCCTCAACCTCCTGAGTTCTGGGAGTACAGATGTATACTCCACACCCTGCCACATGGTATTTATTGTTCCAGAAATGTATTTAATGTGTTCATTTTACATTGATTTTCACATACAGAAGATGGAAGATATATTGAAAAAATATATATTTTTAATTTCTACCTTATGTATATGGGTGTTTTGCTTGTATGTATGTCTGAACCTCATGTGTGTGCCTGGTGCCTTCAGAGACCAGAAGAGAGCATCAGTCCCTAGTAACTGGAGTTATAGGTGATTATCAGCTCCCATGTGGTGCTGGGTACTAAACCTGGGTCCTCTGCAAGAGAAGCAAGTACTCTTAACTGTTGAGGCAACTCTTCAGTCATCTGGAGAACTAATTTGTTTTGTCTGTGGTAGGAGAGAAAGAATTCTGACAATGTAGAGGTACTTTCCTCAAAATGTTGGAGGAAAATTTGAACAAGAAAAATCAGGCATCTGAGTATTATTTATCTCCCTCACCCATAATATGTATGTTGGGTACCCTGACATTTTTGAGTTCTGTATAGGATGATGTATTTCCATTAAAATCTAGAAACAAATCCCTGCATTCAGTAAGGTGATGACTGTGATGATGATGATTATGATGATGATGCCTGATTATTGTTGTGATTGTTGTTTAAGACAGGGTTTCTTGTAGCCAAGGGTGATTTTAAGTTCACGATTGTGGCTGTTCTTGAACTCATGATTCTCATGCTTTCACTAGTTACAAGCTTTTGCCACCACCATGTCTTAGCTTGGTACTGGACTTGTGATCCACCATGTAGGTGATAGAAATTGAATCCATGTCGTGTGGAAGAGCAGATAGTGCTCTTAACCACTGAGGCATCTTTCCAGCTTCCTGCCTTATTATTATTATTATTATTATTATTATTATTATTATTATTATTATTAAACAGAGTCTCCAAGTAGGTTCTGCTGACTGAACAATGAGCTTCAGGAATCTGCCTATATTTACTTCCCTGGCACAGCTATGATAAATGTACACCATCATACCTGGCTTTTAAAAAATGTTTGTTTTTTGTATATCGAACCTTAGGGCCTCCATTTACAGATTCTTTGATCCTGAAATACTGTGAAAACAAAGACCATGCTAGAATTGCTTCAGTACCCTATGACATACATCCTCTATAGCTGCATAGCTGTTCTCTTCAAGTCATTCATGTTCAATTACTAACTGACTGACACATCCTGCTGTATCTTTATATAGAATGACTTAACAGCTGTAACCAAAGAAGGAAAAGTTCTGCTCACAAACCTGCAAGTGCCTAACACTGAAGAAAATGTCAGTTCAAGTCTTGAGTGCCCTCAGCAAATAAGTGGTGACTGGCAAACTATTAATAAGTAAGCACTCCCATCTTTTAAAAGTAACTTATATTTTCATATTAGGAATTTTACATTGTTTGTTGCTATTAGGTATGAAAGTATTTCTGGACCCCTGGAAGCCTGGGAACTTCTTTTCTGTCTTGGTCTTGCAGATATTAGTTTGCTTGCAGAATTAAGTTTCTCAGACACTGATTTTTCTTTGCCTGAACCAAGTGTCACAGTGTCATGACTGTTTTTGCCTGTAATTCCCATTTTCTTTGAGACTGGTTCTCACTATGTAGCTCTGACTGACCTGGAACTCCATATAAATTGACCTAGGCTTAAATTTATAGAGATTTGCATTTTTTTTCATCCTTAGTACTAGATTAAAGGCCCACCACGTGTGGCCTTTGCCTATAACTTTTTTTGTTCTTTCTTGTTCTTATGGAAGAAACATTTAGTTTGGCTTGCAGTTTCAGAGATTTCAGTCTTTATTCACTTGACCCTGTTAGTTTGGGCCCATGGCAGGACTGTATATCATGTTGATTGGGAGTGGTTAAATTCTCAACAAACAGCCTGCAGGGATTTAGCTGCATACCTGCCTCCAACTGGTTATTTTTAAGGAATTTTTTGGCTTGTATTTGTCAAGGTTGCTGGTTCAAGTGCATGATATGGAAACTGCGTTTGATGGATTTTGGGAAAAACACCAACTAAAAATGGAGCAGTACCTACAACTGTGGAAGTTTGAGCGAGAATTTCAAGAGGTGAGTTAAAACAGATCTTTCTGTGTGATGGAAGACCTTATTTGTGAGCATTAGAAGGACAGTCTTGCAAGATGCCAGTTTTCACCTTGGGGAGAATAAAGGAGACAAGTTCCTTGACTTGGAACAAACAAAATCTCTTCTAACATTAAAGCCTTCACTTCTTCCATGACAAAGCACTGACATGTCATCGAATATGACAAGGCCGGAGTCTGTCTTTCTTTATCTTCATTCATTTTGGTTCTTTAAACTTATTTTCAATACAAAGTGCTTTCAGGCTATAAGATAGTTTTTTAAGGAAACAATACCCATTGATCTTTAGAAAGCACATATCATAGGTATGGCCATTTTCTGCTAAACACTTTATTTTTTCTCATAGTAAAAACATTGTCTTACAGAATTATAGTTCAGTTATCAAAATCACTACATTCAATGACAGTAAAATACCTTTATGTTGCCTGCCATTATTATTCTAATTCTGTCAGTTAACCCAATAATGTCATATATATGTGACCTATCTATCTATCTATCTATCTATCTATCTATCTATCTATCTATCTATCTATCTATCTATCTATCTGTCTGTCTATACCATGAATGTGTGCGTGTATAGTTTTGTGTAGATATATGAGTTTGAGGAGACCAGAGATCATAAAAAACCATCCATTTTGGTTTTTGAAATAGGGTTTCTCATTGGCTGGCTGATCAGAGAGCCTTACGTATCTTCCTGTGTCTACCTCTGCTACAGTGGGATTACAGGCACACACCACTATCCCAGACTTTTAAAAATGTGGGTTCTAAGTATTGAATTTAGGCTGTCATACCTGTATGGCAAATACTTTTACTGACAGAGCTATTGCTACAGCTCTCATTGTTATTGTTTTTTTTAAAATGATTTTGTTTTAAAAGACTTAATTGATTAATTAATTAATTAGTGTGTGTGTGTGTGTGTGTGTGCCTACATTAACTTATCTATAGCGCATTTTTGTATGTGCCTGTGGAGACCAAAAGTCGTTGGATCCCCTGGAACTATAGTCATAGGTAATAATGAGTAAGAACCTGATATGGGTGCTGTAAACCAAACCCAGGTCCTCTGCAAGAACAGTAAGCATTCTTATTCTTTAACTATCTCTCTAGCCCTGTAAAGGATAAAAAGAGAGATTTATTTATTGTTTGTTTTGAGACAAATAACCTCTCACTATGTAGCCTTGGCTGGACTTGAACTTACTATATATACCAGGCTGGACTGGAACTCGTATCACTCTACCTCTGTCTCCTGAGTGCTGGGATTAAAAGTGTGAATTGCCACACCAGTGCATATATGTCCATCAGTTCAGGTGCCCATGAGGTCGTTGTTAACTTCTGAGCCATCTCATCAGTCTCTGTCTTTAGATGCTATTCTTAACTACTTTGATGTTTCAAACTGGCTACTCTATTTTTGTGATATTTGTCAAGATTTGAAAAAAAATAACCTCTTTCCTTTCTTGCATGAACACTTAATTCAAGCTCATCTTTTCTGTTTTCTGGCTTAGCCTTGGAAGCAGCCATTTTTCTGAGGAACCTTGGTTTCTTTTTATGGGAAATGGTATCAAAGATGAAGTATGTGGGTACAAGGTGTGATCATTGCTATTGGAGGTTTTGTGTTTCCAGAGCCAGTTACTACATAGTTGGGAAAACATACACACACATGCACATATACATATACATATGCATGTACACATATTTATGCAAGTATGCCTGCTTATATATGACTTCACATGTACACAATGATCTTTTTTTTTTTTTAATTAATTTTTTTATTTTTATTTTATTTTTCTTTTTAGTTACATTTTGTTAACTCTGTGTCCCAGCTGTATCCCGCTCCCTCATTCCCTCCCCAACCCCACACTCCCTCCCTGGTCTCCTCCCTGCCCCTTTCCAAGTCCCCTGATAGGGGAGGACCTCCTCCCCTTTCATCTGACCCTGTTTTATCAGGTATCTTCAGGGCTGGCTGCAAAGTCCTCCTCTGTGGCCTAACAGACTGCTCCTCCCCTGGGGTGGGGGTCAAACAGCCTGCCCTTGAGATCCTATTAGAAATAGTCCGTGTTCCCCTTACTTTGGAAAACTACTTGGTTACTGAGCTACCACAGGCCACATCCGAGCAGAAGTTCTAGGTTATATCCATAGATGGTCCTTGGATGAGTGTCAGTCTCAGAAAAGACCCTGTGCCCAGATATATTTGGTCCTTGTGGAGCTCCTATCCTTTCCATATCATACTAACTTCCCTTCTTTCATATGATTCCCTGCACTCTGCCAAGGGTTTGGTTATGAGTCTTAGTGTCTGCTTTGAAACACTGCTAGGTAGAGTCTTTCAGGTGCCTTTTGTGATAGACTCCTGTCATAAGTTCAATGCACATCCCATTTGTCTTTCTAAATGAGGATTAATCACCTTCGCCTGTGTCCACTTTCTTGATTATCTTCTTTAGGTGTGTAGATTTCATTATGTTTATCATGTCTTGTAGGTCTATATAAGCGAGTATATACCAAGTTTGTCTTTCTCCTTCTGGGATACTTCACTCAGAATGATCTTTTCTAGATACCACCACTTGCCTGCAAATTTCATGATTTCTTCCTTTTTGATTGCTGAGTAGTATTCCATTGTGTAAAAATACCACAGTTTCTGTATCCATTCCTCCGTTGATGGACATCTGGGTTGTTTCCAAGTTCTGGCTATTACAAATAAAGCTGCTATGAACATGGTTGAACAAATGTCCTTGTTGTGTACTTGAGCAAATTTTGGGTATATACCTAGGAGTGGTATAGCTGGGTCTTGAGGTAGCACTACTCCTAGTTGTCTGAGAAAGCGCCAGATTGACTTCCAGAGTGGTTGAACCAGTTTACATTCCCACCAGCAATGGAGGAGGGTTCCCTTTTCTCCACAACCTCTCCAGCATGTGCTATCACTTGAGTTTTTGATCTTGGCCATTCTGATGGGTGTAAGGTGAAATCTCAGGGTCGTTTTGATTTGCATTTCCCTAATGGCTAATGAGGTTGAGCTTAATAAATCATATGTGCACGGATCTCTATAAATCTTCATTTTAACAGAGTATGTTTATTTTTTTGAACAAAATAGCTGAACATATTTTGTTTATGTGTTATTTTCTCATATTGGCATTCTTATTTAATGGCATTTTTATGTAATGTGATCATTACTAAAGGTGAATCTTTAAAAATTCACATGTTTTAAACCTTTATTTCTTCTAGATTGTGACTCAATTTGAAATTTTATTAGATCAACAAAGAGAACTGGGTGATGTAACAGGGAACTTAGCTCAAGTAAAACAGCAACTTAAAAAAATAGAGATCTTGGATGAAAAATCTCAGGTAAGAAAACATTTAAAAATTTTTATTTTATTTTTATTAATTACAGTTTATTCACTTTGTATCCCAGTACAACCACCTCCCATAAGAAAACATTTCAATGTTTGCTGTGTTTATGTTTCACTAGGACTTGGTATAAATGCTTATTTTACCTAACATCTCATAACTATATAATCGACAGAGTATTAGCTTAAAATTCATTTTATGGTGGCGTTGCAGGTGCATCATGTAGTTATAGGAAATCATTAAAGTTGTAGGCATCTGTTAGAAGGCCATCTGTAGGAACAAGACTGTAAATTGTTTTGGAGATGGCAGAAAAAAATGTATATTGAGAATGATACCCATTTAAATTTGTCTTTCTGATGAACAACCAACAATATTTTAGTGTGTTTTTTAATGCAGGTTTGGTTTTGTATTTTCTGTAGTAACACTATCTGAAAGCCATGCAGTTTTCTTAGGTAAATTTACCTAACTTACTTTGGACTACATACTGTACAAGGACTTTTTTTTAACATTAGGAAGCCAATTCTAACGACAAACAATATGTGACCAAATTCCTACTGGTATGTTTTAAGGATGTGTCTTTGGATACATGATTTAATCTTCTTATGTCTCCATTCTTCACCTGAATAATGAAGTATCCCAAAAGCACTCGGGTAACTGGAATTGAAATTGAAATATATTAACTTTCATTTGGCTGCTGTTTGTACTGAGTGCTGTGTATGTTTCTGTTTTATGTCTGTGAATACTAGAAGGCAGTCTTTATAGCCTGAGTAAAATGAGGTAGTTGACTTTTGTTTTATAGTTACAAACTTGCCAGTTTCTGATGGTTGATGTCTCTGCTATAACTAATCATTATCCCTGTAAGGTTTGTGTGTGTGTGTGTGTGTGTGTGTGTGTGTGTGTTTTCTTTTGTTGAATGCAGAAAATGACATGAAATCAATCATGATTTGTGGCCATATATTTCCCCTGTTAAATGTGTTCTTTAATGATCCTTTCACCTCTCCCACTCCACCCCTGTTGTCTGAGAAGAGATCATACAGTCAGGAATTTTTTTCTTCTTTCAAATCAGGAACTGTTAGTGAAGGCCCGGCTTGTGATACTACATGGCCACAAGCTTGCATCGAATCACCACTATGCACTTGATTTAATCTGTCAGAGGTGCAATGAGCTACGCTACCTTTCTGATGTTTTAGTTAATGAGATCAGAGCAAAGTGGATGCAGCTCAGCAGGACTTTCAAAATGCACAAACTCCTACAGCAGGTAATATGATGAAAAAACAACCCATTTCTGAAAAGGACCATAATTCTTTTTCTTCTTGGGTTCTCTAATCTTTACTTTTTGACCATATGTCTTATGGTACCCCTTTCATCTTCTCACATACATGCTTTATAATACATCATTCCTCTTCTTAGAGGTCAAGGGGTCAGTGTCTATAGCTTTGATTTAAATTTGTAAAAGGTCTTAAAGACTGAACCTGATTGTGGTTTCCCAGTCTGTCTTCCTATGCAACTATCTATGGTAGATTCAGTATAGTACCATTTGCCCTATTTTCAAAGTGGAGACCATGGTGGTGATGGAAGTCTATCTCTAAAACCTGGTGATGTTTTGCAGTCAGAGCACTTCATAGCCTAGGGGACATTTTGCAGAAGACTGAAATTCCTTCCACATTTCATAAAGTATGGTACTAAAAATTAACGGGTGACTAAAAAATATTCTGCCATTCCTGTGGGTCAGATCTATTTTATGAGTAAGCAGTGAATGGAAACGCCACCCTGCAGATCTGGTCACAGCAGAGGAATGTAAACGGGAGTGTCACTTGTCAATATCACATCTGAATATAATCATGCTAATCTGCACCTCTCTTTTTCTGGTTCAAAAAAACCCTACCTTTGTTCTTGCCCTTGACAATTATTAAGCATTGATATATTTTGTTAGGAGTTTCATATTTCAGTCATTGATTTGTAGAAAATAACATGCAAGTGAACTGTTAGTGTTGAGAAAATGGCCAGACTCCTGCTGCAGAAAAAAATTACTTATTATGAAGTAAATGCAGTGCTTCCCAACCTTGGCTGTGTATCACCAATAACCTGTGGAGAGCTTTAATGCTATAAATGTCTGGCTGGCAGCCCAGCGCTACTGAATCAGAATTTCTGGGGGCACCACCAGATGCCATTTATTAATAGCTCTGAAAGCATTTTTTTCTTTTTCTTTCTTTCTTTCTTTCTTTCTTTCTTTCTTTCTTTCTTTCTTTCTTTCTTTCTTTCTTTCTTTCTTTCTCTCTCTCTCTCTCTCTCTCTCTCTCTCTCTTTCTTTCTTATAGAGACAGAACCTCTTTACATAGCTAATAGAAACTTACTATGTGGACCAAGCTGGCTTCAAATTCACAGAGATTCACCTACACCTGCCTCCTGAGTACTGGTTTTAAAATTGTGTGCCCCTATAGCTAGCCTCTGAAAATAATTCTGATTGACAGAAGTGAGACATCTCCAACCCATAAGATCATTCAGTGATAAAGGCACTTGCTATTGAGCTTTATTAGCAGAATTTAATCCCAAGGGCCCATGTGCTGGCAGGAGTGAATTGACTCCTGCCAAGTTGTCCTCTGACTTCCACTCATGTGCTAAGTCACAGATATGCTTTGCACACCCACCCATATCCCTCTCCCCTTCACCAAGATGTGATAATAAAACAATAATTGGACACAGCTCTTTTAATGGTAAACCTATGTTCTCTTTATCCATCCTCATGTTTGCTGCTTTGATTTCTGTGATTTTCCTCATCAGGCACGTCAGTGCTGTGATCAAGGGGAATGCCTCCTGGCTAATCAGGGAGCAGATAAGTTTCAGACTAAAGAAGAAGCTCAGAAAGCCCTTCATGATGTAGAGAAGTTTCTTCAAATGGCTGTGCCTTTCATCAGTTATGATATTGAAAACCTGCAATATGAATTTGATGTGCTTTTATCTCCTGAACTCAAGGTGAGAAACATTTTATTCAAAGACATACAAGCAAAGTAATTACCGTGGTGTAAGAGTTTTACTATACCACAGCCAACTTTATATTAGTATGTATATACATAGTCATTTTGAGGACTGGACTGTGGGGTGATAGTGTCACTGTCATGTATTAGAGAATCCAAAGGCTATCTAAGTATGACTTTCATTGTGAGCTTTGAGTCTATTAATGTTATTTATTAATATTAAGTTTGTTTGAGACTGATTTTCACTATAGCCTTGGTTTTTCTGAAACTCCTCATAAAGACTATGCTGGCCTCCTCTACTACATTCAACCTAACTCTATTATTATTATTATTTTTTTACATCAGGGTAAACAAATCACCCATTTATTGGTAAACACTCTTAACAATTTTTCTTCAGTTCTTTTTTTTATTTTTTATTAATTACACTTTATTCATTTTGTATCCCCTCATAAGCCCCTCCCTCCTCCCCTCCCGATCCCACCCTCCTTCCCCTTTCTGCATGCATGTCACTCCCCAAGTCCACTTACCAGGCCACAGTAGAGGACAATGCAGCCACTTTTGATGAGAGCTGATAGACTAAGATCAGAAAGAAGAGGAGAACTCTATTATTTTTAAGTGCTTTAAATGTGCTATGAGCTTTCACATATATTTTGTTCTTCATCCTCAGAGAAGGGCACCTAAGTAGAGTGGACTGTTATGATCAGTTTTATGACTGATATATCCTCACCTTAGGTTCTTTACATTGGGACTTTGGTTTTACATTTATACAAAAAGAATACACTAATATGTTGTTTTTTTCCTAAATTTGCTCTGGTTGTATTTTACATTCAAAATAAGTTGTTTCTATGATTGTGCTATGTGTTTATTTGTGAATTTGTACATTGCATATGAGCACATGACAAACAGGGGTCCTATCTTCCTTTATTTCTCTCTACCTTATTTTGAGACAAGGCCTCTCATTGAACCTAGCATTTGCTGGTTTAGCTGGAGTGGCAAGCCAGCAAACCCTGGGGATTATGCATGCACATTCCTGTGCTCCACTTTGTATGTGGTTCTTGGGATTCAAAGTCAGGCCCTCATACTTATATAGAAAGCCTTCTCTCTGGTCTACAAAAGCAGTTGAAAATTATCCTACCACCATATAATCTGAAGATTTAGCACCTTGATACTTACATATCAACACGTTTGTGTGGGTATGTACATGTGTGCATACAAGTGGGAGCCAAAGTTTGCCTTTAAGTATCTATCTTAGTCACTCTCCTTACTGTTAGACAGTCTCCAGGAACTTGGAGCTCTCATTGATTCAGTTGGACTGGCTGGTCAATGAGCTCCAAAGATCCTCCTGTCTCTGCTACCCCAGCACTGAGCTTACAGATGTTCCTGCTGTGCCTGAATTTTATATGGCTGCTGGGGATCTGAACTCAGGTTTTCATGATTATGTAGCACGTACTTTAGTGACTGAACCATTTCCTCAGTCCTGAAATGATTTTTTAACTACATCTGAGGAATGTAATAGTTGTTATGACTCATTTCAGGTAATAACTCACATAAAATTTTTAAGATCAGTCTGGCTATGTAGCCCTGACTGACCTGGAACTAGGTATGTAGACTAGGCTGGCCTTGCACTCACAGAGATTTACTCTCATCTGCCCCCTCAGTGCTGAGATTATGGATGTACTCTAGGCATGGCAGCTCATATGATTTCCTATTTTATTTTATGTATATGTGCTTTAACTGCATGTGTGTATATGTGTGTACTATGTACAATGTCTAGTGCCTATTCTGAGTGACCATGTGGGTGCTTGGAATTGAATCCAGGTCCTCTGCAAGAGCAGCCAGTGTTCTTAATTGCTGATCCATCTCTCCAACCCTAGCTCATAGAAGTCTAATTTAAATCATAGGCTCAAATGCAGAATGTACAACTCAAGCTTGAAAATATTCGAAGTATATTTGAGAACCAACAGGCAGGTTCTAAGAACCTGAAAGATAGTCCTGAGAGGCCAGTTCAGTGTGTGATTCCTGCACCTGAAAATTTGATGAGACCAAGAGCAATGTTCTTTTCACCTAAACATGGTAAAGTAGTTTTCTGTTTCTTTTTTGTCTTCCCATTGTTTCCTTTGATGCACATGATATATCTACTAAATTCTTTTAAAAACTTTTAGCCTCTTTGTTTATGTTTAAATATGTTGTACAAAGCAGAAGTCAGAATAAGATTCCTTTATGTTCATAAACCACAGTAAGAGCTCTGAATACTGTCAGCTTGAGAAATGAGTGTGATGATTTTATTAGCTTTAGACTTTTACGTTTTCTACAAAAGGACATGAAAGTCATATGTACATTCATGTAACTACAAATATATATGCTTATTGTTATTCCAGTAAGCAATTATTTGGTTATTATGTGATGCTTGTTTTCAAGTGTCTTCTTATATAATAGGATGGATTATTTTTTAAATAGATGCTGGTAAATGCTAATTTCGTTAGTAATTTCTTGTTACAGGTTCCATTTTCTTGTTTTAATCTTTAAACTATTTAATTGTGTAACATCCCATTTCTTTCTAAGTTCTATAAAATATTATTCTTGTAATGGTGTTGAACCTGAAACTCTGAAAATAAGAATTATTCTTACAAGGGTTTCCTGGAGCTAATTCTGGAGCTCTTGGAGAGAGAGCAGTTTGCTCTTTTGTACATGTTAGTTTAGTGAATAAACAAATGATTAAATTCAGTCTCTTTGAGTTAAATTGCATCAGTCACTTTACTAGTGCAGGAAACTACTTTTGAAATGCAAAGAAGGCTTGAGGCAGAGGTAATGAATAAGTACAACTCATCTCCAGCATGGATCAAGTTACAAATGCATTGGAAGTTACCTGGTTAGTAATTCCAAAGTGCATGCATACTTAAAATAAGACTGTGTGAGCAATGATTTATTTATTTTTTAATGTTTATTATTAGTTACATTTTATTAACTCTGTATCCCAGCTGTATCCTGCTCCCTTATTCCCTCCCAATCCCACCTTCCCTCCCTCATCTCTTCCCTGCCCCTTTCCAAGTCCACGGATTGGGGAGGACCTCCTCCCCTTTCGTCTGGCCCTGTTTTATCAGGTATCTTCAGGGCTGGCTGCAAAGTCCTCCTCTGTGGCCTAACAGGACTGCTCCTCCCTTGGGGGGTGAGGAGGTCAATGAGCCAGCCATTGAGTTCATGTCAGAAATAGTCCTTGTTCCCCTTACTATGGGAAACCAATTGGTTATTGAGCTACCACGGGCTTCGTCCGAGTAAAGGTTCTAGGTTATATCCATACATGGTCCTTGGTTGGAGAAACAGTTTCAGAAAAAAAAACCCTGTGCCCAGATATATTTGGTCCTTGTGAGGCTCCTATCCTGCAGTGATTTAAATGAATAATGTTGACTATGCTAAAAATATACTAAAGATATTGGGAATATCAAAGATACTGAAAAAAGTAATAAGAATAACAATAATAAGAATAACAAAATGAACTGATTGAACCCAACAGTTGATATTTCTGAGCACAAAGCAGGCACCAGTTAGATTTCTGGATACTTTAGCTGTGTGACCTTAGGCAGATACTCATTGATGGCTTCAGTTTCCTTGTTTGTAAAGTAGAGACAAATATCTTCTGGCTTAGAAAGCAATTATAAAGAGAAACTCAAATAGAATTGCAGAAAGTAAGAATTACTCAATAAATTGGACTATCACTTCTGTCTGATTAAATCTCCTTTTTTAATAGACCCCAAAAGCTGAAGTCTTCCTGAAGCAGAGAACTTTGGTTTGTGACCAGATCATCCAAGACCCATTCATGTCATTAGTCTTTCAAAGAAAATTTTGTTTTGTATTATTTCATTTCTCTTTCTCGTATTCTTATATAATGGCATTACACTTTCTGCAGTGGGAATTGGATATTCTTTCTTTCAAGCATGTAAACTTTTTTCAAAAGGTACCCATCTTTATTATATTACTTATCATGAATACACTTTATGAGTTTGTACACATGAAAAACTAGTTTGTCATCTAAAAACAGCAGCAGTTCATTCATGGATTCTACCTGTAAATAACTATTTTTTCATACTAACCATCCATTGTTCTCTCTCAACATTGAACTTACCTTAAAAAAAAAAAAGACTGTGTAAAGAATAGAGTATGTTTCTAAAGTCTTTTTTTTTTTTTCACAAAATAACACTTAACAAAAAGAATGAAGCAGAGGCAGGACAGATGTCTCAGTGGTTAAGAGCATTTCATGCTTTTTTAGTGGACACCATTTCACTTTGCAGCATCCACATGGCAGCTCACCACCACCTGTAACTCTAGGATCAGGGGATCTAATGCCCTCTTCTGGCATCCATATACCCACCTGTCTACTCACATCCACATAAACATAATTCAAAATAAACAATATGTCTTAAAAATAGAGTTAGTAAAATTAATGTGAATCAGGCTTTTTTTTCACTTTTAAAGACTCCCACATCTCATAATAAAAATGTGTGTTTGGAATCGCTTGAATTTGCTTTAACTTAAGAGTATCTAGTGTATTCATGAAGAAGAAGGTACCTTAATGAATAAATGGCTGGGGTAGATATATGATTTTCTCCACTATCCATTATGCTTTGTAAATGAAACCAGATCACTATTTAAGGTATAGAACTTCTGCATATTACCCTATGGATCTGTGGTTAACACAGTTTTTTAATATATGCCAGACAAGATTTCAAAACTTGGAATTGGTGAACCAAGTATTTGACCAAATCAAAGTGTGTGATAATTTTTTATCAAAATGAGCCAAACTGTTTTTATTCTGTTTTTCCTTGTTCAGTTCTTTTTTTGTCATTAAGTTGAATTTTCCACCTAGCACAGTGCCTGGCAACTAGCACGATGTGATAATATGTTTGATGAATTCATGTTGAGTATGAAGGGAAGTTTTGGAAGGGCAGTGCCAGTAAAAATAAAGTGTAAAGATATGGTTGGGCTCCAGAAGTTCTATTTCTAATCTAGATCTGTCTCCTAAGCTTCAGGCTTGTATTTACTACATGAAAATTTCCATACAAAATAGTCTCACCATATCCTAAATGAACATAGCTCTCCTGCAAACCTTGTAAAACTTTTTTTTTAAATATTTTTTTATTTTTAAATAATTTTATACATTCACTTGTATCTCAGCTATAGCCCTCTCCCTCTTTCCCTCTCAATCCTCCCCTCCCTCCCTCATCTCCTCCCTGCTCCCTTCTGAGTCCACTGAGAGGGAGTGTCCTCCTCTACTTCCATCTGGCCCTAGCTTATCAGGTATCTTCAGGATGGTTGCAATGTCCTTATCTGTGGCCCAGCAAGGCTGCTCCTCTCTCAGGGGTGGGTAAGGGAAGCTCTTGAGTTCATGTCAGAAACAATTTCTGTCTCCCTTACTAGGGAACCCACTTGGATACCGAGCTACCATGGGCTATGTCTGAGCAGGGGTTGTAGGTTATATCCATGCATGGTCCTTGGTTGGATAAACAGTCTCATAGAAGACCCCTGTGCTCAGATATGTTTGGACCTTGTGGGGCTCCCTCTCCTCTCTAGGATATACTTATTCCTCCTTCCTTCATATGGTTCCCTACACTCTAATGAAGGTTTGGTTATGGGTCTCAGCATCTGCTTTGATACACTGCTAGGTAGAGTCTTTCAGGTGCCTTCTATGGTAGGCTACTGTCCTGTTACTTGTTTTCTCCTATTTCCAATGTCCATCCCCTTTGTCTTTCTAGATGAGGATTGACCATTTTACCCCTGGACCTCTTTCTTGTTTATCTTCTTTAGGTGTACATAATTTAGTATGTTTATCCTATCTGATAGGTCTATATAAGTGAGGATATACCATGTATGTATTTCTGCTTTTGGGATACCTCACTCAGGATGATTTTTTTCTAGATCCCACCATTTTCCTGCAAAATTCATGATTTCCTTGTTTTTAATTGCTGAGTAGTATTCCATTGTGTAAAAGTACCACAATTTCTGTATCCATTCCTCCATTGATGGACATCTGGGTTGTTTCCAGGTTCTGGCTATTACAAATGAAGCTGCTACAAACATGGTTGAGCAAATGTCCTTGTGTACTTGAACCTCTTTTGGATATATGCCTAGGAGTGGTATAGCTGGGTCTTGAGGTAGCACTATTCCTAATTGTCTGAGAAAGCACCAGATTGATTTCCATAGTAGTTGTACCAGTTGACATTCCCACCAGCAATGGAGGAGGATTCCCCTTTCTCCACATCTCCTTATTGTTTCTCTGCCATTTCTCATCTTGTTGACTGGTATTATGACATCCCCACTCACCACGATTTAGTTGTTCCTGCTTATTCCTATACCATTGATTGATTTTATTGCTAAATATGCCTTATGTACATCTAGTTACTGCTATCATTAATTTTTTTTACTGCCAGTTTCTGAGTCCAAAATAACATCACTGGTGTCCTTGATAATAGTGTCTTTGGCTCCCATTGCCACACTCTCCTTGCCCCCTTTTTTTCTTCCATATTAGTTGGTGGAGTTTGCAGACTGTTTTTTTCTGCACTACTTTCCCCCTCTTGCTCCATGGCTTCCTTGCTAGCTCCTATCCTGAGGCTACTTTCTCCTGACAAGCTTTTCTCTACTCCGCTGTTGCCCTGTAACTTGGCTCAGTCAGGTGGTCATCCCAAATAATAAAACATTTCCTTATTTCTTCTCAGTTGCAGACTACTTACCAGTTTGCTGTTGCGTTTGCTTGGCAGGATGCTCTGCAAGGACAGGATCTGTTTGCAAGCCACCTTTGCATACCCCCAAACACAGAGCTAACTTGCCATATCACACAGGTGCTCAGCTATTTTGTATGCCTTTACATTGTTGAAAGAATGAATATATTTGTCTCACTTTTCAGAGAAAGACGTGTTACAGAGATACAAACATATACTCTTTTGCATCTCTCAATATATTTGCAACCAATCCATAATTTACGTTTAGAAATAAGTTTAGATTTTGTATATTTGGTATCTTTAAGATGAGGCACACTGGTACTTGTTAAGAAGCTCAGTTTAAATAAGGAAGACCCTAAGGAAAATGCTCAATCCTCATTCAGAAGGGCAAATTCAAAAGACATTGGAAGCAGGAGAAGACAAGGAACAGGACAGGAACCTACTGCATAGAGCCTCTGAAAGACTTTACTGATAAAAGTATTGAAGCAGAGGCTGAGACTCAGACACACTTTGGGCAGAGTGCATGGAATTTATGAAAGAATGAGGAGATAGAAAGACTTGGAGGGGACAGGAGCTCCAAAAGGAAACCAACAGAGCCAAAATAACTGAGCCCTGGGGATTCCTGAAGAGAATGATACCCCAAGCAAGGACCATGCATGGAGATGACCTCAAACTCCTGCTCAGATGTAGCCCATAGACTCAGTCTCCAAATGGGTCCCTAGAAAGGGGAACATTGGCTGTCTCTGGCATTAACTCAGTGGCAGGCTCTCTGATCACCTTCCCCTGGAGGGTGGGGATGCAGCCTTCCCAGGCCACAGAGGAAGATAATGCAGCAAGTCCTGATGAGACCTGATAGGCTAGGGTCAGATAAATGGGGAGGAAGTCCTCCCCTATCAGTGGATTAGGGGAGAGGCATAGGGAGATAAGAGAGAGGAAGGGCGGGACTGGAAGGAGATAAGGGAGGGGGCCACAGCTGGGATACAAAGTGAATAAATTATAAATAATAATAATAATAATAATAATAACGATAAGCTGAGTTCATATGGTAATTAATACTAAGTCTAATGTATAGTTATATATAGCTTTCATGTGTCAATACTTTGTAATAAATGATAGTCACGTACATATATTTGATAATATGAAAGACTTTTCACTCCCTGAATGTGCCTGACACTAGCTCTAGCCAAGGAGAGGAGGATAAGAGGTATATTTCTTCCATGCTGAGAGCAGTATTCATGTACACCAGATCAGTAGCAACCTTCATAATTTGGAACGTAATATAGTCCTTGTCTATGCCTTTTACTTTTAAAGAACATCTGACTCTGCCTGTTTCTGTGAAAGCCATCTTTTTTTTTTTTTTTTCAGTGCTGGAAATTGAACACATGCTAGGCCAGTTCTCTTCTGTTGAACTTATTTCCAGTTCATCCGCAACCGTGTTTTATTTTGTCCCAGTGCTGGAAATTTATTGTTAAGAAATAAACATTAAGGCTTTGAACTTTGATTTTCCTTTAATGAGTATTTTTCTTGCTTTCAAAGTATTTTGTGTAGTGATTAGAAACATGTATGGGTTTAAATCCACCTCTACTTCCTGAACAAGATACTAACTTTAGCGATTTCTGAAAAATAAGATAGATGCTGTTTTCTATCTCTTAGTATAGATTTGAGAATTAAAACAAAAATTTAAAAAACCCAAAGCATTGAGCTTAGATCAGGGCCTGTTTGCTCTAAGTGCCAAATTAATAGTGGATACTATAACTAGGATAAGCTTGGATTTTTACATTAATTTTCAAGTTAACATATAAAGTAATGACTTTCTTTTCTTTTAATTAATTTATTTATTCATTTTACATCCCAATTGTAGCCCCCTTCCTCATCTTCTTCCTGTCCTACCTTCCTTCACTCTTCCTCCATTCTCCCTCTTCTATTCCTCAGAAAATGGGATCCTCTCCCACCAATTTACCCAAGCACATTAAGTTACATTAGGACTGAGTATCTCCTCTTCCCCTGTGGTATGGCGAGGCAGCCCTACCAGATCAAAAAAGCATGCAACAGAATACATTTTGGAGACTGCCCCTTCTCCCCTTACTAGGGAACCCACATGAAGACCAAGCTGCCCATTGGCTACATCTGTGCAGGGGATCTAGGTTCAGTCCATGCATGATCCAAAGTCATGACTCTATGGCATTTTCACACATAATTTGTTCTTCTTTGAATATGTGTGTGTGTAAAACCATACACATATGTAGATGAGAGGATAATTTGCTGGGTTTGTTTCTCCCCTTTCACCATATATGTCTAAAATTGAGGATCAATTTTAGCTCATCAGGTATAGCAGCAAACAATTTTACTTGATGAACCATCTTGACTGCCCGATAATTTGTTCTTTTCATTATCCTCCCCACTGCTGTCCCCTGTCTTCCCTTTTCTCATAAATGTAGGGCTAGATTCATAAAGCTCTTTGATGCAGTTAGTAAGTGAACTACAATCTGATTGAATGGTTATGTGGCAGAATGCATAGTAAATAGCATATTTGTGAACACTTTATACCCTTTTCTTTTGAGAAGTAAGTGGATGTCTAGAGAATGAGAAAATGGGTAGTACATAGCAAAATCATGCTCCAAGAGAAGTTGGATTATATATAAACTTCTAACCAATTGCTGTCTTTCATAGAGTGATTTAAAATACTAGCATATATTGAATCATTAATATTCTTTTAGTAAACATGCATGTGTTCTCATTAAAAGTGTTGACTTTAATTCTGGTTTAACATTATTTCACATTTCTCTACCAGTAAAGCAATCTTGGAGAAAGACTCATACTCAGAGCAACATAAAAGTAAGTATGTTTGATTAATGAATTCAAAGTTGGCTGTGTTGCTACAAATGCAGAATTAGTATGGGTTTTTCAGGCCTGTTTCCCATTCATTACATTGACCTTGTGAATTTGAAAACTTTACATGTATAATAAAAATCTGCTGCCTCATGTCCAATTGCTGTGCTAGCATAGTTCCAGGGTGTAAGTATGTTTTTTTTTTTTTTAAGTCCTGGCTTAAGTTCAGACTCATTTCTGTAGAACAACGTGTATCAGTTCCAGATCCTCTTCATACTGCCCACCTCCACACACCTACGTAATACTTGACCTTTCTACAGATGATGCTTTCTTTCATGAATGAGTGTAGCACTGCAAAAACAAAGGATAGAGGGAAGTTTAGCATGGACCATTCAGAGACTGACTCAAGATTCAAATGCATATATGTTTCTTTTTTGATTTCCTCTTTACCTCCTCCTTTTTTTTTTTTTGAGCTGTCCTAGGGCTCACTGTGTAGATTAGGCTCACTTCAAACTCATAGAGATCCACCTGCTTCTGCTTCCAGAGTGCCCAGCTACTCTTTGTTTTTTGATGGGTACAGCAGTCCCCCTTAGTTACCTGAGGCCTATTAAATTCAAAATTAAATAGAAAATTCTAGAGAAAAAGAGAGAGTCTATGTATAATATTTTATTATGAGAAATTACACTTTATTATGACTTATTACTGTGCCTAATTTATAGGTGGCATTTTAAAATCATATAATATATATATATATATATATTTTTTTTTTTTTTCTTTTGGGGAAAAATATAGTACACAGGGGACTTACTATTGTCCACCATTCCAGGCAACCACTGAGTTTCTTGGGGTGTATTCGTGTGGAGAAAGTAGGTAGCGCAAGTGTCTAAGATTTGTTCTCAATTTTTTGTGACAAGTTAATATATGCAGAGCAACCTCCTCACAGCTGTAGGATCCTATGAATTACTTGTAGGTCCTTAGTAGTAAGTGCTCCCAGGAACATACCTCTAAGAGGCATTGCATTACAGCATAGCAGTGCAAACTGTACCTGGACTACCTGGCTTTTAATGCCAGACTCTCTCTTATTGATGGTATAGTCTGATAAGTTCTATTAACATCAGATTTATTAATTAACAGGAGATAACAGGACACATGAAGTTATTTTCCAATGGAAATAACATTTATGATGCTCCTTAGTTCACTATGTGTGGTAATATAGTGGTGCTCAAAGTTCTATTTACTGTCATTATAGTAGTCCAGCAAGTAGCCTTTTTTTTTTGACATAAATAGAAGTATATAAAATAAATATGAGTTAGTACCTTAAATCTGTGCTTTTAGGTAACTCAAAGCATATATTTAATTTGTATATATACAAGTCATTTTTAGAAAAATACAGTATTGTATATCAATTTATCTTCAAAGTTAGGATTGAAGTTAATTTTATATAAATGTATTTGAGAAAGTACTGTAATTACATAGACATGATTGAACTTTTATTTTCATTATTTCAGATTGAAGTTATTCAGGACAGCCAAGAGAAGAGGGATTCTGAGCAGTCTCCCAGACTGGACAATAGCTTGGATATTTTAAAGAAGTAGGCTTTCGTTTTTACCTTACATTCATGTGTGTGTGTGTGTGTGTGTGTGTGTGTGTGTGTGTGTGTGCGCGCGCGCGCGCGCGCGCGCACGCACACGTGCGTAATGGGAAGTTCTGATTCAGTGTTGAAAGTTTTATGTACTTAGAATTTTCAGTGTACAAAATAGGGTCCTAATGAGGACATTAAAGAACACTAACAAGGTGTCACAAGTTCTAGATTTAGGTTGGAGCAGATGTGAACTGTTTTATGAGACTTGAGGAATTTTCTTTGGTAGTACTATGGGTTATAAGGCAAGTGCTCTGCCACTAAGCTATATCCTAGTCTACTTTTTAGGATTTTCATATGGGTGTTCTATAAGAGCAGCATGTGCTCTTAATCACAGAGCCATCTTTCCAATTCCTGTTTCCCAGTTTTATTGAAAAATAATTGGGGAACAGAATGAATACATTTAGTCTACACAGTGTGAGATATGGTAAGATGAATTGCCGTAACAATGAATTCTAACTTGTGGTAAGAACACAAGTGTGTAAGTTCTATTTCCTACAGAAGAGACACTTCATTCATGATAATAAGCATGCTGCACACAGAGTCCCATCTGTTTTAGTTTGGTTTCTGTTGTTGTGATAAAGACTGTGACTAAGAGCAATTTGGGGAAAGAATGGTTTATTTGACTTACACTTCTAGATCTTTGTCCATCATGAGAAAAAGTCAGGGCAGGAACCTGCAGGTAGGAACTAAAACAGAGGCCAGGGGGAGGTGCTGCTTAATGGCAGGACTACCTGTCCAGGGGTGGCAGCACCTACAGTGGCTGAGCCTCTCATGTAAATTGAGAGAATACCCCACAGACATGTCTGCACACCAAACAGATTGGGTAATTATTCAGTTGACATTTCCATTTTCCCAGGCTATTGTAGTTTTGTGTCAAATTGACAGCTAAAGCTAACTGTGATACCATTTCTTTCATTTAAAAAAAGAAAAGGAAAATCAATGAAGGGGTTTGTTAAAATCTATACAGGATTATAGATACTATTTCACAGAAAATTAGCAATTACCCTTTTATATTATTATGTTAATATTCTAAGCCTAAAAATCCTGACATATAAGTTTCATATGAGCTGGGCTTAGAGGAACATTCTTTTAATCCCAAATCTTGGGAGTCAGAGGTAAGTGAATCTCTGAGTTTGAAGCTAGCCTGATTATGTAGTTCTAGGACAGGAGGACTACATTGAGGCCTGTCTCAAAAAACAAAAACAAACAAACAAAAACAAAAACAAACAAAAAGCTAACAACAAAAACAATGGAAAGTTTCATATGTTCTTCTTAGAAACAGCCAGTGTGCTACAACTGGGATACAAAGTAAATACACTGTAATTAATGTAAAAAACTAAAAACTAAAAAAAAAAAAAAAAAAAAAAAAGCCAGAGTTTTGTATCAAATTGCCAGAGTTTTGTATCAAATTGCATGGAGTATGCATCCCAAGATTATTGAAGGTAATTTAAAGAAACTCATTTTGGAAAAAGCCAGGGTGTAAATTCTTTAAAGTAGGAAAAAAAAAAAAAGAAATGTACAAAAGTAGAGGTTAAAGAGATTGCTTATATTAGAGACGAGACGGGAGTAAAATTTAAATAATTTTGAAATCAAATGGAAAGGAAAGTTATATCATTTTATATAGATGGCAGACAATGTTGCTACAGAATCTTAAGTTGTACTCCTATGTGAAGGTGACTATAATGAAAGTATCACCTTTCTGAGAGAGGGAAAAAACAAAACAAAACAAACAAACAAAAACCAGAAAGTTACTGAGAACTGGGGAAAATAGTGTTTAATTGACTAGTATCTTTTTTCTTTCTTTTTGAAAAGAAAAGCTTAGGAAATGTAGCTATTAAGGTGCTGGTCCAACTGGATGTCTACATGCAGAAAAATGAAAATAGATCCATATTTATCACCCTGCACAAAACTAAAGTCCAAGTGGATCAAAGACCTCGACATAAAACCAGATACTCTAAATTGGTTAGAAAAAAAAGTGGGGAATAGCCTAGTCTCCTAATTGGCACAGGAGACAACTTCCTGAACAGAACACCAACAGCACAGGCTCTAAGGTGAACAATCAATAAATGGGACCTCATGAAACTGAAAAGCTTCTGTAAAGCAAAGGACAGAGTCATGAAAACAAAATGACTGCCTACAGATTGGGAAAGAATCTTCACCAACCCTTTATCTGACAGAGGACTAATATCCAGTATATATAAAGAACTAAAGAAGCTGAAAAGCAGCAAACCAAGTAATCCAATTAAAAAATGGGGAACAGAGCTAAACAGAGAATTCTCCATAGAGGAATATCGGATGGAAGAGAAGCACTTAAAGAAATGTTCAACCTCATTAGCCATTAGGGAAATGCAAATCAAAACGACCCTGAGATTTCATCTTACACCCATCAGAATGGCCAAGATGAAAAACTCAAATGACAACACATGCTGGAGAGATGTGGAGAAAGGGGAACCCTCCTCCATTACTAGTGGGAATGTAAGCTGCTACAACCACTTTGGAAGTCAATCTGGCACTTTCTCAGACAATTAAGAATAGTGCTTCCTAAAGACCCAGCTATACCACTGCTAGGCATATATCCAAAATTTGCTCAAGTACAAAACAATGACATTTGGCAACCATGTTTGTAACAGCTTTATTTGTAATAGCCATAACCTGGAAAAAACCCAGATGTCCAGCAATGGAAGAATGGATACAGAAATTGTGGAATTTTTATACAATGGAATACTACTCAGCAATCAAAAACGAGGAAATCATGAAATTAGCAGGTAAATGGTGGGATCTAGGAAAGATCATTCTGAGTGAAGTATCCCAGAAGGAGAAAGACAAACATGGTATATACTCGCTTGTATAGACCTACAAGATATGATAAACATATTGAAATCTACACACCTAAAGAAGATAAACAAGAAAGCTGACACAGGGTAAGATGATCAATCCTCACTTAGAAAGACAAATGGGATGTGCATTGGACGTATGACAGGAGTCTATCGCAGAAGGCATCTGAAAGACTCTACCTAGCAGTGTTTCAAAGCAGATACTAAGACTCATAACCAAACCTTCGGCAGAGTGCAGGGAATCATATGAAAGAAGGGGAGTTAGTTTGACTTGGAAAGGATAGGAACTCCACAAGGACCAAATATATCTGGGCACAGGGGTCTTTTCTGAGACTGACACTCCACCAAGGACCATGTATGGATATAACCTAGAACCTCTGCTCAGATGTAGCCTGAGATAGCGCAGTAACCAATTGGTTTCCCATAGTAAGGGGAACAGGGACTATTTCTGATAGGAACTCAATGGCAGGCTCTTTGACCTCTCCACCCCCCAAGGGAGGAGCAGTCCTGTTAGGCCACAGAGGAGGACTTTGCAGCCAGTCCTGAAGATACCTGATAAAACAGGGTCAGATGAAAGGGGAGGAGGTCCTCCTCAATCAGTGGACTTGGAAAGGGTCAGGGAGGAGATGAGGGAGGGAAGGTGGGATTGGAAGGGTAAGGGAGCGGGATACAGAGTTAATAAAATGCAACTAATAAAAAATAAAATTAAATTAAAAAAAAGAAAATGAAAAAGCAAAACCTGCCATTCATTCAGGGTAAGATTTTAACAAATTTGTTTTCAGTGTAAGTGAATTAGAAATCATTTTTTATGTTAACCCACAGCCCATGAGAATTTGTTTCTCTGTACCCCCCACAAAGACTTGCTATGTAGCCCTAACTTGAATGCAAGTTAGCTTTGAACTCAGATTCATCTGCTTTTAACGCCTAAGTGTTAGGATTAAAGGTGTGTGCCACCACATCTGGACTTCTTTCTTTAAGTCTACTTAAGAGCCTTCTAGGTAGTTCTTTTTTAAACAACCAAACATAAGCTTCATATTTTGATGCTAGAACAAATCCCCCAGGTAGTTCCAATATATTAGCTTATTTTACTTTACATCGGTAGTTCTCAACCTTCCCAATGGTGCAACCTTTTAAAAAGTTCTTCATGTTTAAGTGACCTCCCCAACCATACAATTATTTCATTGTTATTTCATAACTATAATTTTGCTACTCTTAAGAATCATAATATATTCTCCAAAATTGCCCATATAGTCAGGCACAAAGCAAGCCTCAATAGATAGAAGATGATCAAAATAATCCCTTGTATCCTATCAAACAGCCATGGCCTAAAACTAGACCTCAACAACAACAGAAATAACAAAAAGCCTACATACACGTGAAAAATTAACAACTCTCACTCAATGACAGCTGGGCCAGGGAAGAAATAAAAAAAGAAATTAGAGACCTCTTAAAATCCAATTAAAATAAAGGTACAACTTACCCAAACTTATGGGACACAATGAAAGCAGTGCTAAAAGTTCATAGCACTAAGTGCCTTCAGAAAGAAGTTTGGGACATCTCATACAAACAACTGCATATCTAAAGCCCTAGGAAAAAAAAGAAGCATACACACCCAAGAGGAATAGATGATTGTAAATAATCAAACTCAGAGCTGAACTAAATAAATTAGAAAAAAGGAAAATAATTCAAAGAATCAACGAGAGCAAGAGCTGGTTCTTTGAGAAAATCAACAACATAGACAAACCCTTAGCCAAACTAAAGCAGAGAGAAACTATCCAAATCAGCAAAATCAGAAAGGAAAGGGGGAACATAACACTGGGGAAATTCAAACAATCATTAAGGCTTACTACAAAAGTCTATATGCCACAAAATTTGAAAAACTAAATGAAATAGACAATTTCATTGATAGATTCAATTTACCAAAATTAAATCAAGATCAGGTAAATAGATTAAATAGTCCTATATCCCCCAAGAAAATCAAAGCTGTCATCAAAAGTCTTCCTTCCAAAAAAAGCCCAGGGCTAGATGGGTTCAACACAGAATTCTACCACTCTTTCAAAGAAGAGCTAATGCCAATACCCTTCAAACTATTCCACAAAATAGAAAAATTACCAAACTTGTTCTATGAGGCCACAGTTACCTTGATATCTAAATCTCACAAAGATACAACAAAAAGAGAACTTCTGACCTATCTCTCTTATGAACATTAATGTAAAAATACTCAATAAAATATTACAAGCCAAATCCAAGAACACGTCATGATATCATCCACCTTGACCAAGCAGGTTTCATCCCAGGCATGCAGGGGTGATTCAATATATGGAAATCCATCAATGTAATCCATCATATAAACAAACTGAAGGAGAAAAACCATGTGATCATCCCCTTAGATGCTGAAAAAGCATGTGAAAAAAATCCAACATCCATTCATGTTTAAAGATTTGGAGAGATGAGGAATACAAGGCACATACCTAAACCTCGTAAAGACAATATACAGCAAGCCTATAGCCAACATCAGACTAAATGGAGAGAAACTTCAATCAATCCCACTGAAATTAGGGACTAGGCAAGGCTGCCCACTCTGTCATCAACATAGTACTTGAAGTCCTAGCTAGAGCAATAAGACAACTAAAGGAGATTAAGGGGATATAAATCAGAAAGGAAGAAGTCAAAGTATCACTATTTGCAGATGATATGATAGTATACATGAGTGACCCCCAAAATTCAACCAGAGAACTCCTTCTGCTGATAAACACCTTCAGCAAAGTGGCTAGATACAAAATTAACTGTACATTATAGTCACCCCCCTTTATATAAGAGACAAAAGGGCTGAGAAAGAAATTAGAGAAACAACACCCTTCACAATAGCCACAAATAATATAAAGTACCTTGATGTGACACTAACCAAGCAAATGAAACACCTGTTCAAAAAAAACTTCAAGTCTCTGAAGAAAGAAATAGGTGAAGATCTCAGAAGATAGAAAGATCTCCCATGCTCACGGATCAGTAGGATTAATATAGTGAAAATGGCCATCGTGCCAAAAGCAATCTACAGATTTCATGCAATTCTTTACAGAACTTGAAAGAACAAATCTCAATTTTACATGGAAAAACGAGAAACCCAGAATTGCTAAAACAATCTTGTACAGCATTAGATCCTCTGGAGGTATCTCCATCCCTGAGCTCAAGCTGTACTATAGAGCAACAGTTAAAAAAATGGCATGGTACTGACATAGAAACAGACTAGTGGATCAATGGAACCAAATAGAAGACCCAGAAATAAACCCACATAACTATGGACACCTGATTTTTAACAAAGAATCAAAACCATACTATGGAAAAAAGACAGCATCTTCAACAAATGGTGCTGATCTCATTGGATATCTACATGTAGAAAAATGCAAATACATCCACACTTATTACCCTGCACAAAACTAAAGTCTAAGTGGATCAAAGACTTTAACATAAAACCAGACACACTATGTGTTAGAAGAAAAAGTGAGGGAAGAGCCTTGAACTCATTGGCACAGGAGACATCTTCCTGAACAGAACACCAACTGCACAGGCTCTAAGATCAACAATCAATAAAAGGGACCTCATAAACTGAAAAGCTTCTGTAAAGCAAAGGACACTGTCACCAGAACAAAATGACATCCTACAGAATGGGAAAGGATCTTTACCAACCCTATATCTGACAAAGGACTAAATATCTGGAACAAAGAACAAAAAGTTGAACACCAACAAATCAATGAATCCAATTAAAAATGGGGTACAGAGCTAAACAGAGAATTCTCAATAGAAGAATATTGAATGGCAGAGAAACACTTAAAGAAAGCTCAGAGTAAAAGTTAAAAAAAATAAAATTAAATAAAAGAAAGTTCAGAGTCTTTAGTCATCAGAGAGATGCAAATCAAAACGACACTGAGGTTTCATCTTACACCCATCAGAATGGCTAAGATAAAAATCTCAAGTGATAATACATGCTGGAGAGGATGTGGAGAAAGGGAACCCTCCTCCATTGCTGGTGGGAATGTAAACTTTTACAGCCTCTTTGGAAATCAATCTGGAGCTTTCTCAGAAAATTAAGAATAGTGTGCTACCTCAAGATCCAGCTATTCCACTCCTAGGCATATATTGAAAATATGGACAAGTATATAACAAGGACATTTGCTCAACCATGTTCAGAGCAGCCTTATTCATAATAACCAGAATCTAGAAACAACCCAGATATCCCTCCATGGAGGAATGGATACAGAAATTGTGGTACATTTACACAAGGGAATAGTACTTAGCAATTAAAAACAAGGAAATCATGAAATTTGCAGGCAAATGGTGGGAAAGAGAAAGATCATCCTAAGTGAGGTAACCCAGAAGCAGAAAGACACACATGGTATATGCTCACTTATAAGTGAAATGTAGTCATATAATATAGGATAAACACACTCAAGTCTATACTCCTAAAGAAGCTAAAGAAGGAGGACCCTGGGTAAGATGATCAATCCTCATGCAGAAAGGTAAATGGGATGGACATTGGAAGAAGGAGAAAACATGAAACAGGACAGGAGCCTACCATAGAGGGCCTCTGGAAGATTCTACCCAGCAGTGTATCAAAGCAGATACAGAAACTCATAGCCAAACTTTGGGCAGAGTACATGGAATCTTATGAAAGAAGGGGGAGATAGAAAGACCTGGAGGGGACAGGAGTGCCTCAAGGAGAACAACAGAACCAAAAAAATCTGGGTAAAGGGATCTTTTCTGAGACTGATACTCCAACCAAGGTCCATGCATGGAGATAACCTAGACCCCTTCTCAGATGTAGCCCTTGGCAGCTCAGCCTCCAAATTGGTACCCTAGTAAGGGGAACAGGGACTGTCTCTGACATGAACTCATTGGCTGGCTCTTGATCACCTCCCCCTTATGGGGGAGCAGCCTTACCAGGCCACAGAGGAAGACAATGCATCTGGTCTTGATGAGACTTGGTAGGCTAGTGTCAGATGGAAGGGGAGGAGGATCTCTTCTATTATTTGATTTGGGGAGGGGCATGGGAGGAGAAGAGGGAGTGAGGGTGGGATTAGGAGGGTATGAGGGAGGTAGCTACAGCTGGGATACAATGTGAAGAAATTATAATAATAAAAACATTTAAAAAAGAATTATAATGTAGGCTGGTCTGAAGGTAGTGAGTTATCTCAATTAATTGTTCACATTCAGTTACAGATTGAATTCCTGTTTTACACTTTCTGGACTTCTTGCTACTGCACTTGACTAGTCGTAAAGATTATAAATAAGAATAATAATGTAAATATTTGATATACAACATAGCTGATATGTGACCCCCAGGTGGTCACAACCCATAGATTAAGAACCATTGCTTTAGATTATTCTAATGTGATATGAGAGTAGGACATTAACTGATAAGTATGGTCTGTTCATTGCAGTCATGTCGTGAATGAGCTGATAGAGTCAGAGAGGGCATATGTTCAAGAGCTGTTTACTGTTCTATTGGTAAGTATAGCAAATTGTTTTTTTTTTTTTTTTCTCCATTTTCCTTACTAGTCCCTGGCTACTTTCATTAGAATGTATTTCTAAGCAGTTTTGTGTTTTTGTCTGTGTCAATTGTTGTCCCATGGTATCAGTGGGTATTTGCTGTTATTTGAGACTACATATTATTTAAATGATTACATTTACATTGCCTCTCAATAGTGGGAATACGTGATTCAGAATTTCTTACAGAAAAGTGAAGTTGTTCTCTTAGTGACATGGTGCATTGCTATAATTATTCCCAGGCTGCTACTTAGAGGTTGAGATGGAAAGAACTGAGGGTGGGATAAAAATACTCATTTGACACAAATGCCATGATACTAATTTGGTCTGTAAAGGGATCTAAGCACTTACTTTCAATTTAAGAAGAACTTTATATTCTGTTCTATAATTTTTCATAGTTGGTTTCTGTTTGGTTTCCAATACTACAATAAAAGCCTTGAAGGCAAAAGTACCACTTTCTATTCTGACTGTACAGTGGAAGCCTTGACTTCCTTATCCTGCATTTGAAAGAATGCCACAGATAGAGAAGGTGACTTAACTACATCACAGAGGAAGACAATGCAGCCAGTCCTGATGAGACCTGATAGGCTAGAGTCAGATAGTAGGAGAGAAGGACCTCCCCTATCAGTGGAATAGGGAAGGGGCATAGGGGGAGAAGAGGGAGGGAGGATGGGTCTAGGAGGAGATGAGGTAAGGGGCTACAGCCAGGATACAAAGTCAATAAATTATAATAAATAATAATAATAATAAAGAAAAAAGTTAAAAAAATCTGTTAGGGCCTTTTAACTAGGAAAACAATTTTTCTTTTTTTGAAGTCAGAATGATGGAGATAGGGAAATGGCTCAGAAACAACCAGTATGGACGAAGCATTCTTCTTAGCTATAAAGGCAGTGGACACTGAATTATCTGTAGAGGTTGAATCTATAGAGGTTGAATCTACCTTTGTGTTGAGTGTTCCCTGAAAAACCTTAGTCAGCTCATGGATATCAAACCATATCGGGAATTATTTGAGTTTCCACACCCAACTCCCAGATTGTTGCAGTCAGAGAGGAATTAGATGCTAGAGAAATTTCTGGATTCATACTAAATTCCTTTTCTAGAAAGACTTGGCCACATAGACATGATTCCTTGGGACAGAATAAGGGGATTACATGGACTTTGTATAGTTTATTAAGAAGGGGCTATAGACACTCTGAATATCACTCTTATTTCAAAAGATGTTTAGAAAGAGCTCAGAAGAAACTTGCTCTGCCAAAAACAGCAGCTAAGATTTAAGAATAGTCCAGTTTGTTTAGAGCTTCTTTGTTCTTATGCCACTTATTGTAATCACAAGATTTTGCATAGATGACTTATGATGTGAAGGTTTGTCTTATTAAATCACTGGGTTAATTATTATTATTATTATTGCTTGCTTGCAATGTAATCACTGTTCCATGTATGTAGAGTACAGCTTGGTATATTTTGTTCTGTGAGGTCTTGGGAACAATCACTGTACCATGTATGTAGAGTACAGCTTGCTGTATTCTGTTTATTCTCATTTGTGGGTCTTTGGGGAAAAGTCCAATATTTTGGGGAAAGAAAAAAGGGGTTTTGATCATGTAGAAAAATGTATAATGAGATGATTTAACAATGAAAGACTGAGATTGACTCTGCTCTAAGAAAAGAGAAAAAAGAAAGAAGGAGAAAGAGAGAGAGCAGAAAAAAGAGATAATAGAGAAACTAGAGGGACAGCCTTCCGAGAACAGTCTTTTGAAATGAGTCATCCATCAGCTTGTACCTGCAAAAAAAAAAAAAAAAAAAAAAAAAAGCAAAAGATAACTGATAACTAAGGGATCTAAATGTTCAAGTGCAAACTGCTGTACCCACAAATCTGTATATTCTACTGTTCTTATACTGTCAGTGGCCCAAACAAGCATTAATATAAATATTACAAATGCAAAAACTGACCTATTTTTAATAGGGCTACCGATCTGAGATGGACAATCCGCAGATGTTTGATCTTATGCCACCTCTCCTGAGAAATAAAAAGGATGTTCTCTTTGGAAATATGGCAGAAATATATGAATTCCATAACAAGTATGTAATTTCCAAATTGAATTTTTTGGTGATTTTATTTTTTAAAAAAGAGTTATTGCTGGATGGTGGTGGCTCACACCTTTAATCTCAGCACTTGGGAGGCAGAAAGAGTTGGATATCCAGAGTGAATTCCAGGCTAGCCTGGTATCCAGAATGAGTTCCAGGCCAGCCAGGACTACATAAAGAGACCCTGTCTCAGAAAATGGGGAAAGTAGAGCTACTGACTGGTTTATTATTATATGTAATAATTAACTTTTTCTCTGAAAATTTTTCAGCATTTTCATGAGCAGCCTGGAAGATTGCTCTAATGCTCCAGAAAGAGTGGGACCTTGCTTCCTGGAAAGGGTTAGTCTGATTAGTTGCTTTCAAATTGTATAAATATTGGCAACCCCAAAAGTATTTTCTGTATAAAGCAGACTTGGAGACAAGGTATGCTCCCCTTTCCCTTTAATGTCTTTGGAAAAGACATATCAATTCCAGTAAGCACTTAAGGTAAAACTGTTTTGTTGGAAAAATGATGTAAGGGATATTTAAGGAATATTTGTCTTCTATGGTATTAAATGTTTCAGTTACCCAGGTAGTATCAATGGAATCCAATAGACCACCCTAGCTATGAAAACGCAAGAGATGAGAGCATATTAATATAATCACTCTGAACTTGGTTAAAGTCAGAATAAAAGATGCCTTTTAAAAAAAGGCATAATAAGGCAGAGACTCTTTTTTTTTTTTCGGCCTGATCTTGTCTACATATTCTTTTTTCTCTTTCTTTCTTTCTTTCTTTCTTTCTTTCTTTCTTTCTTTCTTTCTCTCTCTCTCTCTCTCTCTCTCTCTCTCTCTCTCTCTCTCTCTCTTTCTTTCTTTTATTAGTTACATTTTATTAACTCTGTATCCCAGCTGTATCCTGCTCCCTCATTTCCTTCCAATCCCACCCTCCCTCCTTCATCTCCTCTTTGCCCCTATCCAAGTCCACTGATTGGGGAGGACCTCCTCCCCTTTCATCTGACCCTGTTTTATTAGGTATCTTCAGGACTGGCTGAAAAGTCCTCCTCTGTGGACTGGCATGACTGCTCCTCCCTTGGGGGGTGGGGAGGTCAAAGAGCCAAGCAGAGACTCTTATTATGTAGTCATAGAATTTTATTTTACAGTTCATTTAGTTATTTAGTTTCTCCCCTTCCTGAAAGCCTAACCCCTTCCAAGTTGGGATTGGACAGAAGAGATTGTTGAAATTTTAGAATAATTTTCTTAGCTCAGAAAGTGTTGAAGAGAATAAGTCTGAGAAAAATGAGGAATGAGAAGAGAATAGGACTAAGAAAGAACTTAGATTTATCAGCATGTTCTACACCTAAAAACATATTAACTATGGACAAATTCATTTCCACCATTTTAAATTAGCAGTTGGTTCAACATCTTTTGAAGTCTAATTCTTAACCACTGCACTACTCTCCAAGACATGGTGGTGCGTGCACGCAGGAGACGGAGTCAGGATTGTGAGTCTCAGGCCATCCTGGACTACTTAGTGAGATTCCATTTTTAAAACTATCCAATGCTTTGCTATTCATAGGAGATTTTATATTTACTGTGAACCTTTACATGTGTACACAAATTATTTTCCAACCTGATAAGAAGGTCTTGTATCTTGTATATTTTTTGTACCTGTCAAAGTTGGCAGAGTTCTTGTCAAAAAGTAGTGGCAGTACTGGTTTGATAAATACTTCTTGATAATATGTCCACTTAATTCTCATCTACTTAATATTTTCTGTCTACCAAGCACTGTGCTGAGCAATATGGACACCAAGATAAAGAGCATTTAGGCAGAGAATCAGAAACCCTACGTCATGTATAGGATGAGTTATACTCATTAGAGGTATACAAAATGTACTATAGGGCTCAATTGAAGGTCATTGTCCATAGCTTGAGGGTATAAACATTGGCTATACAGATGAACTTCATGAGATGAAAGTTAAAGTGGGAGTAGGAGATAGACCAATAGATGATAAGGGTAAGATGATCCAAGGAAGAGCAAATTGTGCAGCCATGTGCTGAAACGTGATAACATCCCAGTGATGAACCAAGGGCTACAACTAACTAAGAAATTAGCTTCAAGCTCCTTTATTTAGACATCCAGCAGACTAATAGTACAGAAAACTCATTTTTGGCGCTTATTAGATCATGATAATACATAGTTTAAAAAGAAGGTTTTTCTTGCTCAACTGCCAAGTTTGGTATGCAGGATTCTGAAACTGCTTGTAGAATTATGTAGCCTGCTTTCTGGCCCAAAGGGTGTGCTGTCCTTGGAACACAAATCAGGTCCTTTTATGTCACATTCACTACCATGGTTGGCCACACACTCTCTTGATCCCTTTTTGCGAGCAAAAATTCGTATTTATAAATTGGTAATATATTTGCATTTGTGCTTCATTACAGAAGGATGATTTTCAGATTTATGCCAAGTACTGTCAGAATAAACCCAGGTCGGAGTTAATTTGGAGGAAGTATTCAGAATGTGCCTTTTTCCAGGTATAAATTATTTAAGTATTGAATGCATTGCTTTGGGAAGATATTGGAATATTTCTCATTAGGAATTTCATTTTCTGATTTGGCTAAATTGTATATGTATGTAAGTGAAGCAGGAATTTTGCTCTCAACCTAAGTACAAAAGGACACTTATGCATATAAATATATATTTGCTGTTCCTCAGAGGCAACCACTTTTAGCTACTTCTGATATTTGCCTATCTCCAAAAACATGCTTGTCTTTTTCCTTCCTGATTGAGAAAATGAAGATTTAGATCTCTTTTACTGTTTCATCCTCTATCCCGTGACCATATCCACATAAAATTATTTTTCTCCAAAGCTTCCAGTATATTTTTGTTACATCAATTGGTTATATTTAACTCGATTATTAAGACTGGAATTTCTCCGGGCAGATGACTCATACAGGAAAATTTGGTGGCTTTTTCTTCCCTTGTGTTTTTACTACAATTTTCTTTTTGCTCAGTTAATTTTCAATATGCTTTGCTTTTTTCCTACCTCGAGCTTTTCTAATTTTAGGAAGCATAAAAAATGTGTTCTCTATATATTTACATGCATTAATTGTCTTTAAATTTCATCCTAAAGAAATACCTTCTAGAGTTTCTGACCTTCTTACAGCTTTCATCTTAGGATCTTGGTATATATCATTTGAAGGTACTTCTCACTGCTCTGTCCTCCTGTCTACATGTGAAGTCTTATAAGAAACAAATTGTTTAATTTTATGTGTATGTGTGTTTTGTCTGTGTGTAAGCATGTGTACTACGTGCATACCTGGTGCCTATGGGAATCAGAATAGGGTAATGGAGCCCATGGAACTGGAGTTTAGATGGTTGTATCTCACTATGTGGATGCTGAGAACTGAACCCATGTCCTATGTAAAAGCAACAAGTACTGTAAACTGCTGAGCCATCTCTCCAGCTTCATGTCCTTGTTGTTTTGCTCTCTATTTGGTAGAAGAAATCTAATAGTTTATTTAGAACGTGTGTATGTTATGGGATACATTTGCATAAGTTTTTGAGAACTTGTATGAGCAAATGTCTTTATTGTGCTCTAATGCATTGATTGTAAAGTTGGCTAAGTATAAAATTTTAACTAAAAAATAATTATTCTCAGAGAAGTAAAGAATTATGACACTAGGATGTTACTCTGAAATATATGGAACCTAAGACTTAGAGTTTGTTTATTGGCTTTATTTTTATTCTCATGCATTATCTTGGTATTTGTGTATTGTTTCTTTTGAATTTTGTGGTAAAGGTGTAAAATCTAGGGCCATTTATAGACTAGGTAAACATTTTAACCCTAGGCTTTACCCTGGCCCTTGTTGATCACTCTGAAACTGGAACATCCAGACCTAATTTCTTCATTTTTCTTTTCCTGGAATTTCTGTTGTACTGATGTTGGAATCCTGGACCAGTCCTATAGTTATCCTTTTTTCTGTTTTCCAAGCTTTTTGTCACCCTGTTTTGCTCTCAGGAATTATCTGCTATCCTTCCTAATTGAGGGGTTTACATCTGTCATGTTTTAACCAAAAATTTTATTGGCATAATACTTATTGTATGAGGTGATGGATTTTATAACATCAATTTAAGTGGATCATGTGTATTGACCGTAGTCATCTCTTAGTACCCTTTCTTGTTCCTATACTAATCTCCCTAGTTCCCTTCCTCTTTTCAAGTAGTCCCCCTTCTTTTATATATAAATGATACCTCTCTCTATCTCTCTCTCTCTATGTATGTATTCTGGATTATATATTTCTTTTGAGTCTGGCTTATTTTACTTAACATTTCCTGAAAAATGACCTAATTTTATGTGCATTATGACCCAATAAGATTCCACTGTATACTCTAATGTCTATTCATCTGTCGAAGAGAATCTCGGCTTGTTGCATATCTTGGCTGCTGTGAATGGTGATGCAGATATAGATGTGCAAGTATCTAGTATGCTGATTTAGAGTCCTAGGAGTGGTACAGCTGGGTCATATGGTAGTTCTAGTTTTCATTTTTAAAAATATGCATGCGTGTATATGTTCATATATTTGCAGATACCTGTGTATGTATGTATGCACATGCATGCATGAGTACACATGCACATGTGTGACTGCGGTGTTGAGGCCAGAGATCAAATTTTTTTCTTTTTTTTCTGATTGGATCACTTTAACTTAATACTTTCAAGCTTGATTTTTGACATTTTCATTAGTGAACAGAAAGAACATACTGACACAGTTCTCAGGTGACTCAAAGAAAAAAGTGCTAAACATGTCAGAAACAGTAAGGCACAGACAACTATGTGGAAAAATGGAGACATGTCTCCAGCCCACAGAAATTCACTAATATTTAAGAATCAAAATAATAAGCAATTGCCAGTCAGAGTACCAAAGGCATCACATGATGAAATCTCAACAAATTACTATCTTTTTACCAATCTTTTCATGATACACATATATGTGTGTGTATAATTTATATTAACATTTGTGAATAACATATATTAATATTACATATGTTCAAACAAGATACATCATGCTAATTCTTGTTTTCCTTGTCACTATATTTTTAGTAATTGGCAATGGTATTGAAGAAAATTCTTTTTCTCTGCACAAACATTTCTAGTAACTTGAAAAAAATAACAAACCTGCCTCAGCTTATTAGTAAATTTTTATGATTATCTAAGTAATGCAACCATAATTCAAATAAATTCCTAAAAATTAAGCAACAGGTGATCTATTTCCATAAATATGTTGTATTTAAAAGTTGGGCAAAAATAAACATAAAAACAAGAAGTGTTACTGAGCTTTCTAAATTGTCACATGCTAAGAAGTTTAACACAGAGATCAAGCTTTAGTGTTATTCCTTGGTTTTTTGAGACAGAGTCTCTCATTAGTTTGGGACAAGCTAAGTAGGGGGTAGGATAACTGGCAACCAAATGTCAGAGATCTGCCTATAGCTCCTTCTCCCCAGTGTTGGGATAGTAAGTGTATAAGTGCTGGAGCCACCGTGCACATCTGTATTGTTGTTTTCTTTTCTTTTACTCCTTCCTTTTCTCTTTCTTTCTTTCTTTCTTTCTTTCTTTCTTTCTTTCTTTCTTTCTTTCTTTCTTTCTTTCT